TCTTTTTTTTTTGTTTTTTTGCTGTGTGCATGCAGCGCGAACGGGAAAAACTTGACTCAAGTCGACGTACAAACTTCGATGAGTCTCTATAATCGGAAAGATAAAGTTTAATCTGAAAAAAAATCAAAGTTCTTTGACTTTTTTGCGTTTCTTACATAGACTGCCGACCGCAAAACAAAAAGGTAAATGTGTCAAAACGGTTTATCAACGATTTATTCTTGTACTGCGGTCTGAAAAATACTGTGCGGTAACTACCGATAGAAGAAAAAGCCGTCGCTAAACCGATAGTTATACCGAACGGTACGGTTAACCAGCGGTAATCTATAGACCTGTCAGTAACCGGCGGTACTACAAAAAACAGTGCGACATGGGAACTAATTCGTCCCAGATATCTATGCTTACGACTAAAAATAGATAAAGTGTTGTACCGGCGAACAGTTTAGACGACGAGGATGAGTATTCCAGACAATACTACTATCCGTTTCAAAATACAATGTACTTGGTTATTTTTTGAATAACTTTTTATAGGAATGAGACAGAGACCTGTGGTTTTCAGCATCACGCAGCGAAGACTTGAAGCTGTAAGAATAAAAAACTCCCAGATCGGAATACCACCTGCAGGTAGTAGACTACATCAATCTTTGAAAGATAAGGTTGCTAGAGACCAAAAAGAAATGATTTTCAAATGTCAAGTAATGGATTCGTTTCTACAATTCTACACAAGTTTCAAATCTCCAGTTATTATAGTCCCGGAGCTTTAGGCATTCTGCGACGATCACCCTACTACGACTAGCCACTACTATCACAAATTTAAATCTAAATAAGTTAAACTGTCTTGTTCATCAAAATACTAATTTTCATCATAATGGGTATCAATACACCAAAAAACGAGCAAATAAAATAAATAATCAATGGAGTTGAATTAGTTATAAAATGTGGTAAAACAGTTAAAACCACCAAAATTAAAAAAGACATACTATTGTTGTTACCTTTTCTTAAAGTAATATAAATATGTTAAAGGTAATTAAGTATAAACTAATATGGGATGAATTGAGAGAGAAATGTTGATGGGACGAACTGAGAACTTACTTCTTTTACATTTTGTAAATTTTTTGCCGAAATAAATGAGTTTACAAGACCACAGAGGGGTCAAATGATTTCAAAAAAAATTAAGCAGATTAATGAAGATGTACAAATTCAGAGTATATGACCAACGAGGTAACTTAAAAGGCTTAGAGCCATCGAACAAATTTTCATTGAGTTATAAAAATTCTTCTATTAAATGTTCTATGTTCGGTTGCTCTAAAAACTTTTTACACGATGAGCACTATGAAGTGGCCAGATCGGAATCTCTTGTTTTACAAATTCTCGATAGATCCAGAGATCAAATTCTTAAAGTTAACTATCTAGAAACACAAGAAGAGCACAAACAGACATCAGATTCGTGACCAGTTTCAAGAATAACCATAAAAAAAACTAGTCTTAATCAGAAAAACTTTGATCATCTAGGAAGTTTTCCTAATAACATCTACAACATTCTTCGTTAGAAATAAGAGAAATTTATTAGCCAGATTTATATGAAAAAGAAATCCATAAAGTATGATAAATTTGTTAGGATGCCACCGTTGATTGAATGACACAGGGCATTGGCTACGAGAGTTGATTTTTCAGTGACTAGACACAGTAAAAAGATCTGCGGTTAAGAATTCTAATGCAGATAAATACAATTGTGGGAATTACAAGGCTCACAATTTTTTTGAAATGTTCAAACTTCAGCTCGAGTTAATCTTTTTCAACATATAAAGCAGCGCAACTCTGATCAAAACACCGAAATACAGTTTTTACTACTACGATAGGATATAGATTTTGGTTTATAGAAAGACCTCCACGAAGTAATTTCAAAAAATCTATATTGATGAAACAAGAAGATTCTAGACGATAAAAATTCTTCTATCTCACTTCCTTTCTCTCGTTTTCTTTATAAAGAAAATTTAACATTTACACCTCCATTTATAATTCTTTCATTGTTTTTTTCTTTATTTGTTAAGCCGACCAAGTGAAACTTGAGAAGACTTTTTCTGTTTAAGCACAAAATGCTTCTTCTTTCTTTTTACACGTTTTTGTTTCTCGAGTCAGCCACTCGTTCTCAGCCTGCACTGTGGTGAAAGAAATATGGAGAAAAAACGTAAATTTCTGGGAAAAAAGGTAAAATGTGTTTTGAGTTCCAAAACAGTTGTTGGGAGAAAGGTTCTTAGCGAGAGAAAGTAAAAAATCTAGAAAGCAGAGGAACTGTGTACCTCCCTGCACCCTCATTATCGCCCCGGCCCTGTTCTCAGCTATTCCTAATCATAGAGATTTGGGAAAAACATCGTTCAAAAGTGCAAGAATTGCAGATGACACATCTGAAGTCACTTTTTCAATTTATGTTTTGATTATCACAATAATAAACATAATAGGAATAATAAATTCGTTGATGTATGCTTTTTTATGTGTGCAACAGTTTCCACTACTAAATCTATGAATACCACTTGTACACTCTATAAAAAAGTCGTAGATTAATAAACTAAAATAAAAGAGTTTTTTGGACTAAAAAACTGATAAAAAGAAGAGTTTTTTAACGGGTTTTTTAGGCTGAAAAACTAAAAAGCGTTCGTGGTCGTTTCAAAATGAAAAACTCACGGTTTTTGGGAGACTTTTTTAGGTCTAAAAAACACTTTAAAAAAACCCTGTTAGTTTTTTTCCCGGTTTTTCAAAATGAACACGAGTTTTTGAAAAACCAAAAATGACTTTTGGATGTTTGGATGAAAAATGTTTTTTGGTCATTTTGAAAAATCGAGGAAAAAACTAACAGGGTTTTTTTAAAGAGTTTTTTAGACCTAAAACAGTCTCCCAAAAACTGTGAGTTTTTCGGAGGAAGGAGATACAAAGAAACATAATCTGAAATTTTTTAAATTTTATTTACCCATAGTGACCCATTGAAGGCTCAATGTAGAGGAGAGAGAAGACATAATTAGTCATCAACAAATACGTACAGGAAGGGCTCTTTAAAGACAGGGAAATATTTCTAACAAATTCGAGGCTGTGTGGGGGATTTAAATGGCGTGTGAAGTGTCTTTAAGAAACATTTCACTCAGGCGACATTCGGTAGCTCAGGCTGATTGATATTTAATTTAAGAGTAGTAGTGTATCCTGAATTAATCTAGGTACTGTGTGATAATTAGAAAAGCTTACCAGACTTGGAGTCGAATCCGTACACCCAAATCTAACCAGCTGATCAGAGCCAAGCTTTTACCGATTCAGCTTAAAAAAGGTTGTTTTTTCCTGATGAATAGAGCTGAAAAAAAGGCGATCATTTTTACAGAAATCGTTCGTTTACTTATCGAATGACCTTCTTTTTCTGTTATTTGTACGGTCATGACATTTCTATATACTTCTCGGTTTATAAAATTTTTCTGGTTTTTATCGGTTTATAAAATTTCGTAACCTACTGGCTAATTGGTAGGGTGAATTTTTTTCAAGTGGTTCGAACTCTTAAGCCTACCCATAATCAGAAGTCTGAGATACTCCAACTAAATTTGATAATTATTGTCAGCCCGTTGTCACATACCCAGTGAGCCATACTGCAATATCAAAATGGACATTGATTTTGATCAAGCCAGAATATGTGACAAGCGACTTATCGTTACTGAGTGGTGAACACTAGATTCTTTGCTTATAACATGAAAACATCCGAATCGAGATTAAGCAAACTGCCGCTTTTAATTTACAAGTAGTATATCATAAGATAATATCTTAAGAGTCTCAAAAACCGGTGATCTGGGTGTCGCTACCTGTTGTGAACATTTGATGGTTATCATCACTATGAATATTTATGGAGACTTCGACTGATACTTCTCTATTTTACCACAATAGTTTTTAATAACATAATTTGTTGTAGAAATAATACATGCATTACAGACTAAACTGGTGATGTATACGATAAGGGTTTTGATATCCGTATTCGACTCGTATTTTAAGATTTCATCCCAGTATTTCGTACTCGTACGTGTACTTTTTTTTGCATGTCATGTTGATACACATATCCATTTGTATACTGTGTGCTACGGATACGTGTTGAAGAAAAGCAACTCAGTTTTTAACTTTTATTGGTTCTTTAGAATAACGTGTTTGTTAACGATCGCTGAATTAACCGTTTTCTGGCGTTTTCTAACGACGTTAAAATGATCGCTGAAACGCATTTATTTTATATAAAACCGCATTTTAACGTATCATTTGTAAACGCCCTTATAAAAAGAAAAAAATCGAAGTTATATCATTTTAACGTCGTTAGGAAACGCGTTCAACAAAAACAATTAATTCAACGATCGTTAACAAACGCGCGTTGTGGAAGAACGCATTATTCTACAGTTTTGAACGACAGAAAATGCGTTTAAACGCCTCTTTTAACGATCGTTCGCTAGCGCGTTCGGAAAAAACGTGTTTTCCATGCTGTTTCTAACAATTTTTTCTTGAAATTGACATTTTTCCTTATTTCGAACTGCTAAGTACTACTGCTCTCCATTAGTTATTGTCAGCTAATGTAATGTCAAGAGGATATGACCGAATGGAAAAAGTGAAAGAATAGTGGAACAAAAGTTGAGGATTCAAACCTCTGTAACTTCTCTCTGTTTTTATTTCTGAATCATTTCGAAATGCGCGTAACAGTTTCAAAAGTAGCGTTTTCATTGTCGTTCACATTCATCGAAAAACTCGTTCTCTAACCCGTTCTGAAATCCCGAAAAACGTGTTTTCAAACGAATAGATAAAAATAACGCGTTTAAATGATCGAAAAAAAGCGTTAGTTTTGAAACCTTTAACGCGGTTTTTCGTCAATTTTTTTTACTCTTGGGAAGTCTTTCTGATTCAACAGTGTTCTTCTTTATTCCAGTTAAACTAATAAAATCGACAGCAGACTCGACATGTTTCTGGAGTAATCGTTATCTTTGAGCGAAAAACAAACGATGTCAATCAGTTCATATCATTATACAAAAGATAGACTACTATCTATTAGAGATAACAATATTAGTAGACAAGTGATTGAAGATGTCCAGACAAAAATGTTAGATAATTTGATTGATGTTAAAAATATAGCTAAAAGAATTATTCGAGTTGATTTATTATCAACAGAAAAAAATGATGTAAGTCATTCTTAATATTCCTATTTAGATAATATCAGTGTCTAAATATTTTAAGTATTATTGGACAAACGCCACAAATGATCGATTTGAACGATTAAGTCTAATTCGTCAATTAAATGAAGATTTCCTAGACTGTGACTCGATGTGTATAGAACAAGGTAAATGAATATGAAAACTAAAAAAATATTCTATTCTGTTATGTTCATTCCCTCAAATATCTGTGGAGTTAGTTTGTCTTTATGTAGAAATAAAGAGACTGTAATTTATATTTAGAATTGAATAACTCATTCAGAATTGATGATAATTATATCGGTGAAGAAGATGCAAAATGTGACGAAGTATTGAGGATTAATAGTGACAATAATCATAACACAAATATAAAAAAACAATTTTATGAAAATAAGTGGGTGTCTGTTATGTTCGTATGATGTCTGTTAAAAGCTCCTATATGGGGATGATCAGTCTGGCCGGAAGACCTTTAGCTTTTTTTCCATAAAATCTTAATAGTACATTCGGAAGACATGATTTTTTTTATCATTTATAGTACTCATCTAGAGTGAACGATTTACCATCATTTCGACCATATTCCTTGTATAAAATCAATATAACGAAGGATATGTTCGAAGCTCCGTAGCTAACTTTGAGACAAGTTA